TGACAGGTGCACAGTGATGTCCCATTGTAGTTCTAATTAGCACGCCCCCTCATTCATAAAGATGTTGGGCATCTTCTCATGTGCTTCCAGCATCTGAATATCTACTTTAGTGACATATCCGTTCATGTCTTCTGCCCATTTGGGTTTTGTTTTTGTATAATTAGATCATTTGCTGTTTTATTAAGTTATGAATTATTCATCTATCCTGGATACTGTCCTTGGTCAAATATGTGGTTTGTGAATATTTCCTCCTAATGTCCAGCTTGTATTTTCATCCTTTTAATGAGATTTCTCATAGAGCAAATATTTTTAATTTTGATGAAGTCCGGTCTTTGATCTTTGTATGGATTGTGCTTTTGAGATCAAGTCCAAGGACTCTGTAACAGATCTGGGTCCCAAACATTTTTATTTCTATAAAGGTCTCATGATTTTATTTGTAAGTCTAGTTTCAGTTAATTTTTGTATAAGATGTTTTAAAGCCTAAGTCAATATGAGTTGTTCTTTCTCTCTCCCCTCCTCCCTCACTTCCCCTTTTCTGTCCCCTCCCCGCCCCTCCCCCGCTCCCCTTTCTGGGTCTAAGCAGTGCTGGCTGTTGTAATTTGGGCACCTCTTGGCTTGATCTTGTGCAGATCTTGTGCAGGTAACCATAGCTGCTGTGAGTATATCAGTCAAGAACCACGTCATGTCCAGAAGACAGCTTCACAGCTCTTCTTTCCTTCCTCGGCCTCTTCTTACATAATGTTCCCTGAGCTTTGAGGAGGAATGATATAGATGTCCCATTTAGGGCCGAGCACTCGACAGTAACTTAGTCTCAGCATTTAACTAGAGATGACTCTCCGTATTGCTGCTCTCTGCAGAAAGTGGCTTCTGTGGTTGAGGGGCCCGCTAATCTATGGGCATAAACAATTATTTGGAAGGCAGTTTGACACCATGTTCATTTAGGAAAACAGCAGTACTAGGTTCCTCCCTAAGGTACATTATCACCACATTTATTACCCTCTACATGAGCAAGGTGTCTTACATTCTCCATAACAAAACTGCTATAATTTGGCTCTCCTTATTGAAAATTGAGTATTTCCTAATTCTCATTATTATAAATAACACTGCTAACATTTTCATATACATTTGGTGGGATCAGACAGTCTCTGGCCCTCTGTATTCTGAGCCAAACTCAGAACAGTAAATTCTTTTTTTCCCCAAAGAGACAGCTAACGGGAATTAAGTTACTTGGGTGGGTAGGTAAAGATGAATATACTAAAATTTCAAATAGCTAGTCTCAAACCAAGTCCTCCACCTTTTTGGCAGATACTATTCAAATTCTGAGGGGCATTTTAAATTGAGTGTGGTATGAATGACCAAAGGGTTAAGTAAGGTCCTTGTAATGGTTCTTCTTAGAAATACCCTGACAAAAGTTACTTAAGGGGAAAAGGCCCACAGCCTGAGGGGACACAATCCATTATGGGAAGGGACATCATTGCAATGAGAGTGAGAGCATGGCATCCAGGGTCAGGAAACACACAAATGGTCACATGGCATCCACATGTCATGTGACATGTCAGGAAACAGAGGGGTGGATGCTGGTGCTCAGCTCACCTCCTTTTTATGCAGTCTGCTACTTGAAGGGAGGGAATGGGACCACCCACATTTAGGGTGAGTCTTCCCACCTCAATTAACCTAATCCAGATAATCCCTCACAGACCCCAGGGTTTGTTTCCATGATAATTCTAAATCACTTTGATAGTCAAGATTAGCCATCACAGTTGAATATACACTGTATTTATAGGTTGAATGTACAAAACCCCATGGATGTGGCACTTGGGGGTGATTTAGGAACAGCACTGGCAGGGCAGGGTCTGCCCATCTGCACCTGAATAATGAATTTGACTTTTGTTGTCTGCATTTTGCACATTTACCATAGGATAAACCTCTGTTCTTTTAAGGTTATTTGTTGTGAAATGACCTTTAAATATTACCAATGGGATATGATAATGTCGTTCAGATCTCTACAGTTAGTGTCATCAGTTTGAATTCTTACTAACTTTTCCTTTTTTTTTTTTTAAACCCTCATTTTATTTTGCTTTGGGAGAACTTTGTTTTTCATATGCTCGTTAGTTCTTTAAAATGTCTCTTTTTGGCATTATTTCAGTGCACTAATTTAATCTACATTGCTTATTCCCAACAGGGTATTTCTGGTAGTTGCAATCAGGTCCCCATTCAAGCTGGCTCAGTTAAAAGTTAGATTCCAACCACTCTCTAATTAGGCTTAGGGCTCACTTCATAGGATGGAGCCCATACCTGACCCTGATAGGAATCTGAAGCTAGACAGGTTAGAGGAAGCAGGGGAAGCCTAATACTAGCTTTCTACTAAATAGTTATAGTACTATATTGACTCCTAATGACTTCTTGTCATACACATAGATTAATACCTCTCTCAAACTCACCAGAGAAGCTGGTTTCACACAGAAACTCACAACTGGCCAATGTGTAGAGAACGAGAGCCTGCAGAGTGCTTATCAATCTTCTCTGCCTCCCAAGGCCCAGAGATCATTGTGGAAGGGGGAGCTGAAAGATTGTAAAAGCTAAAGATGGTGGATGGCCACAAGGAAGTATAGTGTTCCAGATTTCTGGTCAGTTATTCATATGAACTCACAGCAATGCTGACATCATGCACAAATCATATGCAAACTCAGAGCAGACAAAAGTCCCAGCACAGACATGGGGAAGTAGGTAAGAAACCCGGACCCCACCTGAGGAACTTCTGGTAGGTGATGGCTCCTGGGAAAAGAAAAGAGTCAGTATCTTTCAAGAACGTTACTCTTAGTAGGTTAACTAGGCTCCAGTGGATGAACCCACACTGAAGGACGTTTGGGGACACAAATTAGACTCTATAGGGCTTATATATGTGTGTGTGTGTGTGTGTGTGTGTGTGTGTGTGTGTATTTATGTAAATGTCACATTAAGTTGGGTGGGGAGCATTAAAGTGAGGTGCAGATCAGGGGGGATCTAAATACCATCAAGTTATATTTTATGAAAATCTCAGCAATTCAATAATTTTTTTTAAAAAAAACCACTGTACTCCTGAGGCTGGAGATGATCTCTGAGAAACCAGGGGAAAGGCTGCATCTTGAAACTAGGAATTGAAAAGACAGCAAAGAACCAGATGTCTCCTTAGGTGGAGTAGAAATGACTCGGCCCTGGAGCAGTTTCACCGCTCACCTGTCATGCAGGTGATCCAACGATCCAACGTGGCTGCCACCATCAGTCATTTCCCTGCACTAGTCTTGGCTGAATTTCCAGTGCGTGTCTCCATGGTGTTGATCAGTCATTCACTAGTCTTGTGCCTGGACCAACTCTTCACTCTTAGCTGTGGGGACTGTCATATGGAGTGTCATAATAGGATTGATAAGATCTGCATCACATTATCAAATCTGTGATTTTCATGGGCTAGAGGGACGGCTCAGTGGTTAAGAGCACTGAATGCTCTTGCAGAGGACCCGGGTTCAGTTATCAGAACCAACATGGCAGCTAACAACTGTTCCTACCTCCGGTTCCAGGGAATCGAATGCGTTTCTCTGGCCTCCACGGGCATTGCATGACATGGGTACACTTAAAAACATGCAGGCAATACACTCATACACATAAAATAAAAATAAAATTAAAAAGTTTAAAACCATCAAAAACCTGTGCTTTTCAGTTTTGATTGCATTTAAAATTAAAGAATGTATTATGGAGGCTGGAGAGATGGCTTAGCAGTTAAGAACACTGGTTGTTCTTGCAGAAGACCCAGGTTCGAATCCCAGCACCCACATGGCAGCTAATGACTGTCTGTAACTCCAGTCCCAGGGGATCCGACAGCCTCTTCTGTCCTCTACGGGCATTGCATGACACGGGTGGGTGCACTTACATACATGCAGGAAAACACTTGTGTGTGTGTGTGTGTGTGTGTGTGTGTGTGTGTGTGTGCATGTGTACAGATCCCCATGTATGATGACATACCTTGGAGGTCAGAGGAAAGCCTTCTTCTGCCATACTTGCCCACCCCATTTGAATTTTGTTTCTGATCTCTCTCCTCTTTGTGTGTGTGTGTGTGTGTGCATGTGTACAGATCCCCATGTGTGATGACATACCTTGGAGGTCAGAGGAAAGCCTTGGGTATCCGCCTTCTTCTGCCATACTTGCCCACCCTGAGCACACCAAGCTAGCAGACACATGAGTTTCCAGGGACTCTCC